ATTATAACATTTTTTTTATTTATTATTTTTATTCATATTTGAAGAGCTGCAAGATCTGTGCCATTTGAATTTAACTGCAAATTTTAAAAATATGCCAATGAAATGCCATCCACATTTGTTCACCAGATGGCGCATTAGCTTACACCACTAACCGTAGTGCTTATACTAAGTAAGCTTAGTGAAAAGCTCCAATTATTTATAAGCTTCCATCCATGGCGAAGCCGTCTTCGCTGTCTTCGCAGCTTTTTCTTGCTTTGAACGTTCACACAGCTCTCTTTGCGAAACTTACGCCAGGTGGCGTTTGGTCGTATTACAGCATGCATTGCTTTTAAGCTCACTCAGTTTTTGTATATTCGTAGCGAACAACTTTTCAAAATAAATATTGAATTCTTCAAATCTTTTGCGCGTAGCGAAATAAAAGGAATATAAATAGATATTTAAGTAAAGTAAGAAGATTTTAATATTTTACACACATATATACATTTTTTGGTTCTTTTTTTGGTCATTTTTTGTTTCAATTCGCTAAAAATTATATCAAGTTAAAATTCAACTAAAATTCGTGAAAAAAACATAAGAAAAATACAGATCTTGTGATTTGGCTACTTTTAGCTGAATATATTAAATATGTTAAATATTAACGGTTAGATTCGATTTTCGATTGGTTAGGTCTTTCTGTTATTGGTTTTCATGTTGTACACGACATATCGATTTCTGTATCGGATAGTTCAAATTAAGCTGTGATCAAAGTAGGCTACGTCTTTTTAGTTTTAATGTATATCTCTGATTGGCTTGAAAGTACACGTCAATTGTGTCTAAATTCCTATATATTACATTTCGAACAAAGTTTGTCGCAATTTCGTGCTATTCAATTGACCCGAAACACAGCGCAGGGTCACAGCACTTGACAAAGACTCGTGGTCGGGACTCGAGGAGCCATCGGAGGGTGACATCGCCGCCTTTATCGAGGAGGAGCTGAATGCTTGTGGACACAGCAGCAGTTACACTCTACTTATTGAAAAGGTAACAAACCGTAAGTACGATGACAGCAAGATGCGCTTCAACATGGGCATCAGTGGTGGCCACTGGCATTATCAATGAGCCGCTGCGTTTGCCGTGCGCTATACGCCCACCGGGACCGCCTCCAAAGATGCTAATGCGACAGCCGAACTCAAAGGGCAAGGGCAGGGCAATGGCATTGGGCAAATCAGCCATGGCGCCTACACTAGCATCCATTGCTGCAAGATCATCAAGACCCGCAACAAAACCTTCAGCTGCACCCTTTTCAGCATCATCCGCACGCTCAGCTGCAACCGCACCTGCGGGTGCACGCTTCAACAGACGTCCGACCGCCGCGGCACCAAATCCCAGAATGACGGCTCCAAAAATGTCGCAGAAGGCCGCATCAGCAGCCATGTCAGCAGGAAAAGCTATGCCCAATTCGAAACAGGCAACGGGCAGCAGCTCAGCACTACAATTCCGGTCAGCTGGACCAGGAGGACAAGGAGGACAAGGAGGACCAAGAGGACCAAGAGGATCAAGAGGACATGGAGGATCAGGAGGACCAAAAGGACTAGCAGGTTCAAACGGGCCACTCAGATCAGTCGCACCAGCCAGAGCAGCCGGAGCGGCAGGACCGGCAAAATCATCAGGACCGGCAAGATCATCGGGACCGGCAAGACAGTTTGGACGGTCTGGACCGTCAGGACCGGCAAGACCTTCAGGATCTTCAGGACCTTCAGGACCGGCAAGATCGACAAGACCGGCAGGATCGGCAAGACCGGCAGTACCAGCAGTACCGGCAGTACCGTCAGGACTGGCAAAACCATCAGGACCGGCGGTACCATCAGGAACCGCAAGACCATCAGGACCACCAGGACCGGCAACACCGCCAAAGCCGGCAGCACCGTCAGGACTGGCAGGATCGACAGGATCGCCAGCAGCGCCAGGACTGGCAAAACCAGCAGGACCGTCAGGACCGGTAGCACCGGTAGCACCGTCAGGACCGGCAGTACCGGCAGTACCGGCAGGATCGGCAGTACCGGCAGGATCGGCAGGACCAACAGGTCAAATAGGGCCAGTCGCGCCAGTCAGCTCAGAAGCATCTACAGAGACCGTCGGGTCAGAAGGACCAACAGGGCCAGTCGAGCCAGCCGCACCAGCCGCATCAGCCGCACCAGCCGCTCCAGCCGCACCAGCCGGACCAGCAGGCGCAACAGAACCAGCAGAACCAACATTAAGAACTGCCTATTGCCAGCCGAACCGCGTGGCAGCTCCGGATACGAACGCGGACGCGAACACGGACACGGACACGAACACGGGCACGTGCACGGCCACTCAAGAGTTTCGACGTGCGTTTCGCAATATGTGGCCGCGTCTGCCGGCACCGAATTCCGACCATCGCCATCACAGCCGCTCGTCAAGCCAGAGCGGAAGCTTTCGGCGACGTCATCATCACGAATTGCGCGCGCGTGCGAGCTGTCCGTATGGCCAGGGGCCGGTGCATCCACACGGCAGCAGGCCCATGATGAAGCCCATGATCAATCTGGGTCAGCACGAGAAGCACATGATACCCAACTATTATACACCCATGCACTTTGAACAGCAAATGGGCCAGCAATCGCAAGGACGTGGCCACTGGGAGCACCATCAGTACCACTATAGGCCCTCAATGCCGGACATACCCGAGGAGCCGCTGCTAATGCCGTCTCATGCCTATGAATTTCCCGATCCATTGTTTGATGATGAGACACTTGGTGCCTGTGACTCACCACGATCTCGCGTCCGTTGTCAGGTGATATACTCCAATTCTCTCTACGAGCTGGCTGAATGGCAGCCTGTGTGCGAGTCCCGTCAGGTGTGGGAGCCGCTGGATCTCAATCATCGCTATCTATCCGATCCGAGTAATCCCTTACGTAAGTATCAGAGTAACTGAGAAATCTCCACTCAACTGTTTATCGTTCACTTGCAGCGCCAGCTCCACCTGGCTTCGAGCACATCGCCACAGGTAAACGCACGTTGTCCAGCCGCTCGCGCCATCTGCTGGGCGAGGAGATAACATATGAGTTAGATACAGGCTATGAGACGCCCGTACCCATGGAGATGCCAGAGCGCGAGCTGCGCGAGCAACAGCATTTCATAGGTAAGCTCGGGAACAGAATTCATTCTTATATCAATCTCTCTCACTATATATAAATATATATATTTTGATAGCTAATCACGATACCCATTTGGCAAGTTGTCTGGCCCAGCTGCGTGTGACCAATGGTGCAACCGGTGACGGTTACTATGTGCGCCCGGTGCTTAAGCTGGTTCCCAAGGCAGTCAAGGTGGTGGAGCCACCCAAATACCAGCCCGTATTTCAACCCAATGTCTCGTATTGGGATCTATTGGGCCGCAATCAAGACAAAGCAAAGAATGAACTAATAATTAACAATGAGCCGATCCAAGGCGATCAACCACACAACTACAATTCGATGCCACCAATGAGCAACGATCAGGACGTCTATGCGGACCAACTGCTCTACAAGGCTGATTCATCATCCTACGACAATGTCGGCCAAATGGTCAATCCGGAACGTATACAGTTTGGCACCGTCACAGCTGAAATGTCCGGCTCGATGGACGACTACACATTGATTAATCAGATCTAAGATGTTCTTATTCGGGGTAACTCTCCATAAGTATGCTCGAGAGACTTTCAATCAACAAAATTCTTTAGAAAGGCCCAATTTCGAGCCTTTTCTTTTTTTTTTTTCTGTTATTTTTGCCTTTTGCAGAACGATTCTTAAGAATCGCCAGGAGCTGCGGAAGAATTGAAATTAATCTTAGTTTACCAAAATGTTAATGATGTTTGAATGAATAATGAATAAATCCCTGTTAATTTTTTTGGTAAATGCTAACTAACTGTATTTTCTTTTTTTTTTTTTCAATCGGTTACCCGAAACCTGAATTTTATTGATGCCTGATTGGTGTTCCTATTGAGATGAAGCACCTATCGTAACTGGTCTACTGAACTACTGAACAGCTAGACAACCGTTAGAAATTCGATGTGGTGGAAGATGTAAAGTATAACAGAATTTCGATAGAACAATTATAGCAGAAATGATGCTGGTCAATCGACTTGCGCCAGTAGATACAGAATTTCAGGCGAAAAGACGAGTCTGTGGGCCCAAGGATCTGCGGCTGCAGACCAGGACCTCTTAATGCCAAAAATGGTAAATTAACTGCTGATGGGGAAAATATCTTCTATCTAATGCAGTGGCTGAAGAGAAAGCAGAGTGAGAGATATATTTATTCTCTGCTTAAGCTTACCTTCGAATGGAGCGACATAAGAAGGGAAAAGGTCTGGTTCATTCAGCTGCAAAACCTCTTCTACTGCGAAAGGTGACAAGAAGATAGTACGGAACTGTCAGATGTCATATGGATCATATGATGTCATATGTAGCGACAAAAATGATGGGAAAAGAAAATGAGGTCTAACCGAAAAAGACTTATATTTGAAAAACGGTGGAATACTAAAGACATATGTACCAGTTAGAGCAGATAAAAAGGGCTCCATTTTGAAGGCTAATGGGGCATCGTTCGATTCCAAGTGTTAATTAGGAGAAAGTTCCCTAATCGATAAGCAGCAAATGCCATTCGACACATAAATTTTCACATTTCCTGATTTCCTGATGGTATTTAGCATAACTCTTGATAATAGCTCCCTCAAGGAAATTTTCTATTTCAGTGTTGTCATCTAGATTAATCAGCATATGCGTGTTTGCATGTTTGTGTGTATGCATACACATATTTAGAAGTTAGTTCGAATACTTGTCAAGACATGTGAGCTTTGGGTTGGGGGACATGTTCTTTGTTGACTGGAAATTCTCTTTTTCTTTAGCTGAAAGCTTTGGCATTAATTTCAATGTGCAATTAAAATAAAAGCTTGCAACATATTTGCAGGAAGCGTGAGCAAAAAGGGTGAGAGACAGACACAGAGAGAGAAAGACAAAGAGAGAGAGAGAGAGAGAGACATATCTATACATACTATATGTGTGTATGTAGTATACAGTAGATATGTATGCGTGCTTAAAGTCGCTCGAAATGCGTTTTTATTTAATTACACGCAGAGCAGAAGCATTCATTTAAAGATAGCGAGAGTGAGAAAGAGAGAGTGAGAGAGAGAGAGAGAGAGACAGCGAACACAAAGGACATTTGTAGCATACATATATGAAATGAAATAAATTAAAATAAGTGTCGAAGCAAAAGCAGCAAAAAGGATTAAAGGACTAGCTGTAGGACAGCAGCAAGGCATATGTGGAGTTCACATGATACGCATAAGATTACTACACACACACACACACACACACACACACTCGCAGACACACAGTTGTCCTGGCTCTCTAATGTGTATGCATTTGTAAAGTTCGAGTATCCTTTTTTTTTTTATTTTTAATTTTTGTTGTTGCCTTGTTTTTTTTTCTTGCTGTTCTGTTTTTTGTTTTTGCCAAGGCAACTCGAAGACAGAGCAAAAACAAAGTTAAGTTGAGTGCGGGCTAACTGGGCGTTCGTTGTGGGCGGGACTGGACAGCCGGAGCGAAAGACCGTGTGCGCTCGTGTCTCTCGGCTCGGGTCGGAGCAAAGACAAATTCATGTTGCATTTGTAGCTTAAGGATATTATTGTAGCATCCTTTGTGTCCAAAGCTTTTTGTTTTACTTTTTGCATACTTTATGCTCGCCTTTTTGTTGTTGCCGTTCTTGTTGCTGCTGTTGTTGCTGTTGTTGTTGTCTTGTTTCAAAGTCTTTCACAAAAAAACGAACGAAAAAAGGCAACCAGAGCGAGACAGAGCAATTGAGGAGAAGGACGAGCGCAGCGAACAGAAGCGAACACTAAAAAATCATGCAAGAAATACGAAAGTGCTGCTGATTTGGTTTCTCTGTGTCGAACTGCAAATACTCTACAGAGATATGTGAAATGAAATATTTTATTGCAACTGAACTCTAATATAAACTAATTTGTTTATGCCATACGAAACTTTGTTGCTAGACAAATCTATAGAATAAATGCAAAAATTAAGATTTATATTCAGTAAATAGAACTATGAATACTATATAGAATTGTGAGTCATGATTATATAGTATAGCATAAATTATATATGGACTTATCTCTTACATATATGTAAA